TTGTCATTGATTGTTTGTATCATGTGTTTGAGTATTCTTTTCTTTGTGTAATCACGAAAATCACAGCATTTTGCATGGTTTTTGAGTTTCACTGCATACGCTGGTATTGTTTAATTTGTTCTTTTATCTATTCTCATTTGTTAAATATGTATCTGGTGTGCTGTTTTGTTTTTCATTGATATGAAGTGTCTGTTTAGTTTTCTCTTCAACTTATCATATTCTGTCTTATCTTGGGTTAGTTTTATTTTGAGTAAATGTTTGACTAATAATTGTATTTCTGTGCTACCATATCTTCTCACACAAGTTATTTTGTCAACATCTTCCATGACTTTTTACAACTTTCTTTCCACTTTAAATTCTTTAAGCCAGTTTCTCTAACAGTGTCTGATATTAAGTCTATCTGAGTTTGTGGTGAATGGAGTAATACACAATCTTATTACCATGACTACATCCTTCTTTATTTTTATTTCTTTTTATTTCTATTTAGGGCAACAGTATATTTTTTTTTTTACAGGGAACAAAAGAAAAATCTGAACACTATCACACAGGCACTGATTTAAATCTAGGTTGGTTGGTTGATTTTGTTTTGTGATATACCAACACCTCTATGGGTTATTTAATGCTGAAATCTAAATAATTTGAACAATTTTATGGCTTCAACTAAATATATTTTAAGCACAATCGTATGCCTTCAACTACCGATAAAATGTATTGCTGCTAATTTTACTATAAAAATGTATTTTGTTTTTGTTTGTGGGTTCACTATTTACCCATAGCTGGGACCCTAACAGGTGCTACCACCCCAGGCAAGAGTGAACAATAACAATTAATTTTCCGATCAGAGGCCTGGTTGCCAGATGTAGTTTATTGTCATACTCAGGACTCTATATAAATCTAGCACTGAGCATGTAATACAAATCAAAATAAAATAGCATATAAATAATATTTACTTATCTTTTTCAGTCTGGAGTGTTTTTGCAGTCATCTCTCTTTATCATCTTCTCTTATTCAGTTTTCATTTCTTTGATATTTCTTTGTTTGTTGCCAATTTTATGAACCTTAATTTTTATACAGTGTAACCCGGATATAAGAGAGTTGTCGGGACTGGAGAAGACGTCTCTTATATCCGGGTTTCTCTTATATCAGGGTTTGGTCTATTTTGTTTACATTAACACAGGCTCTAATTTGGGACCAGAGAAAATTTCTCTTATATCCGGGTTTTCTCTTATATCCGGGTTTCTCTTATATCCGGGTCACACTGTATGATCCTTATCATAATCATGAGTTCTAGTGATGTCAAGAGCATGAAAAAAAAAAAAAAACAACTGCATGTGAACTAACTTTATTACTGTATAAGATTTGACAGTCTTTTTAAACGTTAACATGTAGTGTTTGTTGTCTGTATGTAAAAACTGTAACTGTTACTAAGAAGAAATCAACCAGACAGATGTCTGTCTGCTAATCAGGTCATAGCAAGAGTATGTGAGGGGTCAATTGATTGCACTGTAAAGGAGATTGATAAGCATATATATAAACTTGAAAAATCTCTTGAGGAAAGAAAAAGAAATCATGGAGTGAAATACAGAAGAAAAGTGTATCATCCTAATTAAAAATCATATATTCCAAAATAAAATTAATTTTGAAACTAACCTACAAGCAATTGCTGTTAAAGCAGCCCTAAATGAGTTTTTTTTTGTTTTTTTTTTTTTTTAGAAAAAGGTAGAAAGTTACTGTGTGGAATTATATTAGTGTAGGAAAGGATAAGTGTTAGGAGTATAGAGCTGAAGTAGACTTTAGAAGAAACCAGAAACCCAATATAAACAAGAAACAAAGGCTAAACCTCTACTCCTGTTTAACAGGGAAGAGTGTAAACCGGATGATAGAACATATTTAACATTTGCTCAATAAATATTCAACCATATGACCCCATAAATGAAAATAAAATGGATTGCTAGAAAAGCTCCCGGAGCTTTCATCCTACAGGTTGATTTGAACAGTGACAATATTCTATATGGATGTAGGTACATAAACCAAAAATGGCAGATTTTAGAAAATAATAATTATAATTTATGCATCTTCAACAAGAAATTCTAAACATATCTCAACCTAGCCACCAGCATGTACTTTGCTCTAGATTTATACTTTATGATCTTATAAATATGCCTAGATTACACTTGGGGTAGTATATGATGACGACACATGCACCAGGAATCATTTTCCAATTATACTAGGAAACTCGGAACCTCATGATGAAAATCTCCTTTGATGGAAATTAAATAATGTGGAAAGATCTATTGTCACAGAAATGAATCCAAACTGACAGCACTAAAGCTCCAACAAATCGCTTCATAGAAACACTACAGCTAAAAAATGAATACCCAATATTCCAACTCGAAACAAATGCAGCAGACCATCATTTGACAATAACTGCAGAGAAGCCATCATAGTATGATGAATGACTTTATGTAAATTCGGTTATCGTTCTACAAAGTCCAACTTAATTTCCTTCAAACTATACAAAGCAAAATCATGTAAAACAATAAAAGAAGCCAAGAAGGAATAATGAAAAAAATATGGAAGTAAATAAACTAAAGCAAAAAAAAAAATGTCTGAAACATAAGAATATCTAGTAAACAACAACTTGAAATATTTTTACAAAAATAACGCCAAAGTAACTAACAAAAAGGATATTGCAGATTTAATAGTTTTTCAGAAATCTCTAATACAAATGGCAATCAACAATTCCTAAACCTCAAATGCAATGCCAAAAAATGTATAAGCTTTGAATCGGATTAAAAAAGTCAAATATCACTTTGAGCTTCTAAAACACCTACCAAAGAAATCATTAAATTATCTTCCAAGTTGAACAGTCTTCATCATAGTTGTTTTACTTCATTTTATTTTTTGTATTTTTTTTCTTTTTGAGGCAGGACCAGTATCAATCTTGCGCAAAGAAAAGTGAGTCCTGCTTGACAGAGGATCTCAGTTTACCTCTCCACATATGCACGTCAATGTACTGAGACTTGTAATAATTAGAGGCAAGGTTTTACCAGGCTAGATGCTCTTCTTGATGGCCAAAGTACACTGAGTTTTTATCAAGACAATATCTAGGAAGGCTGCCATTCAAGGCTTGATACCCCCTCCGTCTTAGCCTTTATATATATATATATATATATATATATATATATATATATATATATATATTACACACATAATAGCAGTTTATTCCTATAATCTCCCCTTCCCCCCACACTTTTGATGACCAGACTTAAATTCTTCCAAAAGAAATGATAACAGCTTTGAAGTGAAAACATGCACAATAGTCTCTTCAAAGTGAGACTGATTCTAATAAAGTAGTTGAAATAAAGACTAGGGAAAACATTATTGTGACTAGCCAATGACCATGTAAAAATCACACAAACATATATATACACACACACACACACACACACACACACACACACACTTTAATACTTTGGCAGGAAAAATGATAAAGAATGTACAGTATACCAGACTCTATATGCAGAGAAGTTCTTCCTAATCAGGTGTCATACTTTTGTTCTCACTAGACAGCTATTTTTATACAGTGAATAGTTAAGCAACATATTTGAAAATATTGACATGGATGACCTAAGTAAATTTACACTCCAAAATATAAGCATTTGTTAATTATTAGCTCTATGTACAATATAGTTCAAAAGTTTGAAGCAACCTCCAGAATTAACATGAGATGAGCTTGACAAAAGAGTAAAAATATAATGAAAAAGAGCACTTAGAGTTATTAAAAAAAGAATGGAATTAATTATCAAGCTTATGCTTTGAGAAATTTTTGTAATGAATGCCAAAGATTTGTGCTGCAAACGTAAAGACTAAAGGAAGATATTTTGATGAGAGCAAAATTTAATCATAAAATTTTTTTTTTCTTTTTGTCATAATAAAATTTCTAATAAAAATATCATGTCTCACTTTTATTAATCATGTTCATGTATAATAATTTTCTCTCATTTAAAGTATAAAACAACTACTTTTTGGGACAATTTAAAAAGTTACCAGGGATGGCCTCTAACTTTTGAAATGTAGTGTGTAAAATATATAGTACCTTCAAAGATTGGTTAAAAAATGAGCATACATGATGAAAAATGCCCCAAACTTAATAAAAACAACATTTTATCATCAAAATCTTTGTTATTAAAAGGATTTTTTGTTTATTAAATTATATATTTTATCCCTTTTTAGAACCTTTCAAAATTTTGGTTAAATTTTTTTTTATTGTATTGAGGGGTTACCAGTGATTACTATAGGAAATTTTAGTGTCCTTTTGCAGTGAAAAAAAACATTGATTTGGAAATTCTTGCAAAACTCAAATATTGTTGGATTTTAATAAAATTCTCAGGACTTACTCGCAAATGAATGAAATTACTTTAGAAATGTTTTTTACAGAAAGTTTCAGTGAAAAAAATGTTTTTTTCTTACATCTGTTATCCCCATTTACTTAATTTTATGAAATTTTAAGAAATTCATTTTTATATGACTAACATTTATATTAGTTATAAGCAGAAGTGTTTGCAGAAATTAAATCATTATTTCTTATTTTTTTTCTAAAATGGGTCCCTCAATTACCAAAAATCTCATCTGAATCATAAAATAAAAAATGCAATAGAATTAAGACATTATCTAATTACAAAAGATTTTAATTTCTTTTATAAATAAGATATATTATGGATACTATTTTTAATGAATATTTAAAGTTGTTTTCATTTTTTAAAACTTTTAATTAAAATAATTTATAAAGTTTTAATCATAAATGGAAAAGCTTACTACAATTCACTGCCCTACCATTATTTCACAAAATGAATTTTTTTATATGTGTATAAATGTTCTGATTTTTGTAAAAAAAAAAAAAATGTTTGCTTTTTTTCATTTTTTTTTACATTTTCTGTTTTTTGTTTGTTATACTTTCTCATTTTTCTCAACCTTCTTTTATGTTTTTTTTTAAATAGGTTCTGGTATCTTCATCTCCCCTAAAGGTGTTTTGATTGGAGCAGGATCTGTGGCCTTCAGTTTAATTGTATGGTTTCTTTGTGGTTTGTTAGCCACCCTTGGTAAATATGTGGAATTCTAGACTTTTTTAAAATTGTTTTTGACAATGGAATTGGCAAAAAATAATTTAAGTTCTAACCAAGGCTGTTATACGTACTTTTACTTAAGCTTTGTAAAATGTAAGACTCCATTTTCCTTGGCATCTTGATAAATAGGTCTCATAACTGGCATGCCAGAATAGTTGACAAGAAAGATAATAGCTGAGTAAACACGTGAACAATCCATCTTTTCTGTATAGACAAAATAGATAAAACCTGCATGCTTGACTTTACTGCATAAAGGCTTTATTAACACAATTTTCCAAAATATTGTGTATATTTTGAATTGAAAGTCCCAAGTATTGATAAATGTTTATTTTTAATAAACATTTGCCATCCAAATTTTATGTGTATATTGGTTGTCAAGAGATGCTATTTTAGTCATTTTTGACTGATAAAATGAGTGAAATATCAAGCATTCCAGGTTAAACATTAATTCCATTTTATCACCATTTACAAATGCTTTTGAATCATTATCCAACCAAAGAGGACCCTCGTCAAAAGGAATTTTTCACTATTATTGCTCTAGAACAGTTATTGCTTTCACTGTCTTCTTCAATATAGATTCTTAAGAATTCATAGCGAGAGTTAAAAAGCCTGAAATTCTTCATAAGATGTATCAACTGCTACTCTCTTAGGGTTAATATTTAATTCAGAAAAAGGCATTCCCAGCAAAACTGCTATAAACTTGCTGTGATATATCATATCCCTTTCATGTCTTTCACACAAGAACGCATAGTAGAATAGAACTATAGATGGTTTCCTATATTTGCCAGTAAAACTAACCAACATATTACATGTGTGATAAACTTACATTAGCTTATTATGACAAGACTATAGAGGAGATTATGGCAGAGGGTGAGAAGATAGTGTTGCTCCAATTTTCCAAATAGCATTTGAAATCCTGATTTCAGTTTGGACCCTAATCCTGTCTCTTAGCAACTGGCAAAGAGATGCACAACTATATCAGGTACAAATGAAATGCTACATTCATACAACATAAGATCACAAAGCCAAATGAAGGAAAGTTTCAGCATCACAAGATTGTATTACAAGGACTGCCCTGCTCAGCATTCAAAATCCAAGCTTTTATCTTGATTCAAACACTAATATATACAACTATATCAGTTACAAGACAGGCCCTGGTTCTCATACACTCACTGAAGTTAAGCAATGTTGAGTTTGGTCAGTACGAAGATGGGTAACCACTTTGGAATACCAGGTACTGTAAGCCTGGATTTGCATTGCATGTTAATGGCTTGGAATTGTTAATTGGAGAGCCGAGTTCCAATTCCCATTGGGTTTGTTTTGTGATGTCAACGAATACTTGTTGTCACTTTCATAATGTCAACGAATACTTGTTGTCACTTTCGTAATGCAGGTTGCAGTAGAGACTGTAATCACAAATACAACTATAGTAATGCTGTTGAACAATACTGCATGTGGTGTAATGGATAATGGCTTGGAATTGTAAATTGGAGAGCTGAGTTCCAATTCCCATTGGGTTTGTAATATTCAGTTATGCACAAATACCCTTGGGAAAGGTATGACTGCACCTCTTGTTTTTCCCCCAGCTATGGATTAATTAGTAAGGCTTATATCACCAAACTATTATTAACTCAAAAAAAAAAAATCCTTATAATCTAAAAATATTTCCTGGCTTTAAATAACCTGCAAAGAGTTGATAAGCTATAGAAAATGAATAAATCAATCAATCAATGTGCTCAGTATAGTAAATCTCGAGAAATATATAGCAGTGGAGATTTTTATGAATTTTCCTCTTTTTTTCTGTGGGTAAATTTAAGTCCAGGTCAAAGCCAAGAGTTTTAATGCTGATATTGTTACATATATTTGTTAGTTTTTTTCTGATGTTTTGTGAATGATCTCCAAGAATAATCTTTCATAGCAAATATATGGTAAATACATGGAATTCTAGACTATTTTAAAATTGTTTTTGACTTGAAATACTACTTTGAATTAAACACTTTGGAGCAGATGACAATATATATATATATATATATATATATATATATATATATATATATATCTCACATGAAATTGTCCTGATTCCAAGTGGTTAAATGCAATTGTACAATGATTTCCTTTGCAGTTTGTTAAATAATTTTTACATGACTTTATTTTTGGATAAAAGTGGACAAGTTGTATTTAACATCGAAATAAAAGGAAGATAAGAATTTTCTTTTTTATCTGATTTTATTTGTCTTTAATAAAAAGAAAAAATGTTCACAACAAAAAAATAAAACAATATTTATCAAGTACTTGAAGAATTTTTTTTTTTTTTTTTCTGAGCCTTCTGGTAGGGAATCAAATTGTCATTCAAGACAATTTTTAGATAATGCCAAAGACAGGGAAGGTAATTACTTTTAAAGTGGCAACACATACAAAAATCCCATTCCCAAGTATTTAAATCTTTTCATTATATATGCTAGCAAAAATTTGAAGACCAATCACAATTGTTTCCATGTGTCCAAAACAAAACAGCACAACTTGATCTATTCACATAAGAAGACTGTTCTAATTAGGCCACATCAGAAAGAGAGGGACATTCTTCAATTTTGGTTGCTCTGTTCCAACTGACGTTAGGACTTTTTTTTTTATACTAAGCCTGAACAATTTATTCATGTATCTATGCACTGAATTCTGTCAAACAAAATCTCTCTTAACTGAACTTATGGTACTATATACACATACCTTTACTTATATGATAGCCAGAGTTCGGTTGAAGGTTAAAGAGGATTTGCATGATAGTTACAGGCTCTTCTACATCTTTGAGGAGACAAGTGAATAACTCTGTACTCTGTGTTGGCAGATTTAAGATGGAGATCATATATCATGCATGTTGCACAATTTCCAGCTCCGTTTAAAAGGAAGGATTTTGAATGTTAACATCTAACTGATTGCTCCCCGAGGACCAATCTGTTGAGTGTTTCCCCTAATCTCAATATACTTTCGCTGTACATTACAACAGCGCTGTCATTGAATTTCTGTTTTTGGAAGAAAAAATGCTGTAAGCATTCACAGGAAGCTAGTGAATGTTTTAAAGAATAGCTGCACTTAATATAAGCAGATTCTCACTAGAGAAAGGAGAATCTGACCTTAGTGACGGGACTTCATGCCCAGTATTACCACTATCAATCCATCCTGGGCATGACAATAAACTACATCTGGTAGAAAGGTTTCTGATCAGGAGGCTTTGAGGAGCATGGAACCACCTCTTAATTGCTGTTGTTCACGGGTCTATCTTGACCTGAGGTCATAGTACTTGTTAGGGTCCCAACTACAGGCAAATAGCTAAAACCCAAAACTGAGGTCAAAACATTATGAATGTATAAAAATTCATTTTTTAGTAGAAATACCAGCAATGTATTTTTATATAAAAAAAAAACAATTACCAGAAATACATTTTTGAAAAATAAAAAATAGATTTCCAGCAACACATTTTTTTTGTAAAAGAAATTAAAAATGCTCTGAAGAAAATTAAATTTCAGCATTAAATGACTCACAAGGAGATGATATGCCATAAACCAAACTAAACCACTATCAATTCTGAAGACTACATATACACCTTGTCAGAACTGAGAGCGAATCTTCTTCTAGCTTAGGCCAGATTGGATAATGAGTGATGTGCTTTTGCAACATGATAATGCAAGGCTTCACACTAACTTAAAGAACATGCAAGTAATTACAGTACATTTCTGGACAACCTTACACCATCCATCATATAGTCTTGTCTCCATACTGTCAGACATTCACCAGTTCGCCAATGACAACTTGAAAGAGGCAACTTACAAATAGTTAAGTGTTAAGCGAAAAAAAAAAAAAGAAAAAAAAGGCAGACAAGGAGTTTCTATTAGGTTGCAATAACACAACTGAGAAAGGAGTTTGTGGTGAGAGTAAGATTTGGAATCCCGAGACATGGTGTAGTGGCTAGAATGTTCGCTTTTAGACCATGAGACCCAAGTTCAAATCACTCCATAGTTGTTTGTCAGAAAGGTGACTGTTATTGGCCTGGATGACATGATCTCAATGTGAGTGCCTGAAAATATACATCAGGTTGACCCAAGCCTTGTGAGTGAAACTGAATAGGAGCAACCCTTTGGGAGTTGTTGATGGTTGTGCTAGCATGAAGTCATTGTGACTGAAGGTTTTAGTGTCCTGTCCTTCTTCAGACTCTTGATAACACGCTCTCTCTCTCTCTCTCAGAAAATGTAACTAAGGTCTGCTCATCTTAGTTGCAGTATAAACCATGCGTGGGCTATGTGGGTGTTGAATAAACACAAATGTGCCTGAGGAAGCATCTGCAACACGGATTAGCTAACCACCCTAGTAGATGGGTATCCTTGAGTGACCAACCCAGACAACCACCCACCCATCCATTCATACATCCATTTTATATATATATATATATATATATATATATATATATATATATATATAAAGGTCAACACTGAGTAGCAACAATTTGTTTCATGCTTGAATGTAATCTTTAAGTCTTATGTAATGTAATCTTATGATGTCATTCAAACATGAAACAGCCTACTGTCCAGTTCACACCCCAACCCAGTCTCCCCACTGATCCCTGTAAAAAAAATAACTGATTGTACTAAATTTAACACAACCAACTTACTCATATGCAATAACTCTTCTAGTGTTTTAATATATATAGGCAGCAATCCTTTATTTATACATGTTTCATTGAAGATGACGGACAAGGTACTGCGATTAAGCTTTTTATTTAATTTTTCTCATGTTTGACAAAGTGTTTTCTTTTCAGGGTGTATAGAAACTGTCCAAATGTCTTGTAATTCCAAGTGCTTTTGGCTATACTTTTAGCCATTATCAAGGATGATTTTATTTTTCCTTTTTAATTGGTTGTATGGGTTGTGTGTATGTTTCTAGAGTTATAGGGATGTTTTATTTTCAGAACATAATTAGCACATTGTGGCCATGTTCATAGTTAATATTATTGAGTGTTTTCTTTTTCTTTTATAAAGAAATATACATAATGTATATATTTTTGATTAGTTCCCTTACATTGGGGAATGTGTTTTGCAAAAATTTCATAGTTATGATGGTTAAAATTAAATATTATATATATATATATATATATATATTCTGCATGCATATACCTACTTGCAAATATTATGGCCACATGCAAATTTTAAAGGTTTGATTTTGAGGAAAAATTTATTTGTTTCATCAAACCAAAATATTTTGTTCCAAAATGAAGAATTTTGATTGTGTTGATTATGAGCAAAGTGTAAACAAGACTTAAGAAAATTAACTTTTGTAAGAGTCAAAGACTGCAAACTTACATTGGAGTATTCAACTAATTGTATCTTTGTTTAGTTCTGCCCCTGCAACCTTTAGGGGCTACTGAAGTTCTCTGAGTAGTGAATGGTTTACTTTCTAACAAATGGCTTCCCAATAAATGAATTATTTAATTTACAAGGATGTCCTGCTGTCAGGCCATACTGCTTCCATCTTTGAATCCAAGCTGTTATACTGATAGTAATATTAATTTCATTGGAAAACTTTTGATATTGCAATTCCATGATTATGAGCATCAGTTATCACTCTATGAAGTTATTAAGAGAACTCTCTTACTTTCACCATTGTGAAAGCCTTTGCATATACTAGTCAGAAATTCCCTGTTCGTTCAAAGTACTCACAGGATCTTAACTTATCGATCTTTGTGCATAAAATGCTCTGATTGATCTGAGGAAACTGGAAAATGAATCATTTGAATGTAATTCAGTTTCAAACTGCAAATTTAATCCTATTTTATTCATAATTTCAGAAAGTGTCCCAAACTTCTGCATGCCAAATATGTTTAATTTGCTTCTAAGTTTGTAAATAGACAAAAACTTCCTTATTTCTACTTAGATATAGAATAAACTATTTGCTATTGCATGGTGATTGTCAGTTTCTTGCCTCAAGTGATCATGGTTTGAAGATCACTTGAGCTGTAAAACTAACAGCCATCATGCATTATTGATTCCTGTCTGCACACAAAAAATCTCTCTCTCTCTCTCTTTTTTTTTGTAAATATATATGTTTATTTTCTGTTTATAGATATAGTTATGTTGTCATTGTGTACATTAAGATATGCTTTGTAAGCAGAATGATCAATCAAAAAATCGTTGAAGGTGTGTGTTCATAAACAGTAATTTGAACTTTGCTAACCAGATGCTTCTCTGTGGCTGAATACTTAACAGCAAATCAGGTTATATGATGGTTCCCATAAGGGTTGCAGGTTTGATTCCTGTTTGACAACACATATTTTTTATGGAATTTTTCAAACATCCAGGCTGGTAAATGTAATTAATACTGTTTAATTAAAAACAGGACATTTACTTAAATAAATTATATCTATAAAAATAATAACAGAAAATATATTAAATAATTGAATCCATTTCATTATATATATATATATATATATATATATATATATATATATATATACTAGCAGTAGAGCCCGGCGTTGCCCGGGGATGTAACAGTAAGAGATAGATCAAATATCGACCATCATAAAGACTGAAAAATAAAATTGACAAAGATTATTGTTTAAGGTAATTTTATGTAGTCCTGTGAAGTTTTGTTGAAATCGGCTAAAAAATGTAGGAAATTCGATCCAACATATAAATGTTACAGACACACACACACACACACACAACCTGTGTTTTATAATAAGTAAGATAAGATATATATAGTGTTCAAGCATGCTTTCTTAGACGAGACTGTTGCCACTCAGTGTTGACATCATACACACTATCCTGGTATTGAGCACTTTTACCCTATAAATATATCTATATATTTAAACTATATATATATATATATATATATATATATATATAATGAAAGAAGGTAATGTGTTAATATTTATTAGTTTTATTATGTTGTAATATCTCTTCTTTATTCTTTACAGGTTCCTTATGTTATGCTGAGTTAGGGGCTGCAATTCCAGTGTCTGGTGGGGAATATGCCTATTTGATGCATACGTTTGCACACATGCATCCAACATGGGGCCCTGTTCCTGCATTTTTATTTGCATGGCTTGCCATGTTTGTCATTCGTCCAGGGATGGTGTCAATCATGATGATGAGTCTTGGGACATATGTATCCAAACCTTTCTATGGCCATTGTGAACCACCGGAATATGTGATCAAACTCATTACTATTACTGCATTAAGTATGTTTTTTAATATTTTTGTAAACATTTTATTAAGCTTTCTATAAATTAAATGTCATGCAATTACTGGAAAAATGTTGTAAATTATGTTTGATTTATGCATTTCTCAGCAGTTTCTGTCCACTAACCCCCCCCCAATATTGGTGTGATACATTAATTCATTTGAAACAATTATTTTATTTTATTCACTTTCTTGTCTTTATCAAAATATTGGGGCCATTGTATTCTCTGGCCTTTTTTATGTGTCTGTGGCATTTGGTAAGATGTTTGAAATTTTAAACACACCTTATTTGATCCATAGACAACATACCATATTTTTTAAAGTAGACACTCTAATTTAAAAGATAGTTGTTTTTTTGTGGGGGGGGGGCTACTGATGTATCTAATAATTTTTTTAATGAGTAAAAATTAAATCTGTTACTTCAGTATATATTCTTGTAAACACAAAAGATTTTGAAGACTTCATCAGCAAAAGCTTGAACATCAAATGGAATTACTATGTGACCAGTGCTGAAGTCATATGCCAACAGTCAAAGCATCAAATTGCTGATCATTAAACATCTATGGTCAGGACATGTAGCAAAACTCGAAGAGTCAAGGTTTCCATGTCAAGTCTTATTCAGTGAACTCATTTCACGGGCAAAAAACCACTGGACTTGAGACTAAGTCATTTGAAACACAGGCACAAGACCATACCAACTGGTGATGTTCCATCACAACCAGAAAATTCAAAATCTTCAGAAGAGAAAAGGAAGGAATCAAATGACATGAGAGAAAGACTCGACAAAATTGACTTGGCCCTCCACCAAAATTATTATTCAGTCAATGCTATCAGCTTTTCCATGCAAGAATTGCTCTATTTAGTCATGAACACCATCATCATAAAGGAAGCAATCAGAAAAGAAGAAATTAAATTCTTGGATAACAGATAATGCCAACACCTTTTTGTATATAAAATAAAAGCAGATTTTGACATCAAATTTTAGGGTAAAGAAAAGTGTCTTATACTGTCATAAGTTCAATCCCGGGGTCTTGCAAAGCAGAAATACACATCAGCTTCTTGAAGAGACAGAACAATAACTTGAATTAGGAATTAACAAGTTCTGAAATTCCTTCAGAAAAAAAAGTCTGATGAGTTTAGGAATGTAACCAAATATATCTGTACTCTGTGGCGGCAGAGAATATGCCAGTTGCATTCTCTGGATACGGGAAAGCAAAAAAAACAAAAACAAATGTGTTTCCCCCTTCCTTGTGGATGTTTGCAGACTTCAGTATAAGTCTGGCCAATGTTTACCTATAGAGACTTGAGAAATTTTTAAAGAAGTAATAGATTATTTATTTATTTACAGATATTAAGAAAAATATGCTCTGTCTGGAGGGAGTGCATATTTTTCTTTAATAAGATTTCTTGAATATTCAGATCAGTAGATAAAAATAAATATACTGTTTAATAAATAAAAACATAGCATCCACTCAGATATGAGTATCCACTAAAAATAACGTTTAAGTAAAAAAAAAAAAAAAAGAGGCATTAGTATAAAAACCGCTTTCAGTATTGAATCTCCCAACATGGGTGAATACATTTTGAAAGCTATCAATATTGATTGGAAGGTTGTGACAAAAATATTGTGATGAAGACAGAACTGACAGGTAAACTGGTCTGAAAGAATTAGTATACAGTTGTAATAAAATTGTTGGAAATTGAACAAAGTTATTTTTCAGTGTTAGAAAAGTTTTATGGCTTGTGATTTACTTCAGTATTTAAGTTAAGGTGCCTCACTTAAAAGTAAGTTGACAATTCAAGATTAAAATATTTTGCTAGGAGATCCAAAGTTTTTAAATATCATTTCCATAATATTCTTTCCAGGATTAATTTTGGAAGGAGATCAACATTTTTTCAATCTTTATATATTTGTAATAATTATTTATTTATCTATTTTACTTCAGAGAAGAATTTCTAAATTTGTAATTAAAAATTTATAATTCTTCATATTTTCTAGGTAGGGTTAATGTAAATGAATCTTGATTATATTGTTTGAATATTTGTAAAGTTTTATGAAAATGTTCAAATAACTTTGTGCACAAGAAATAATACATTCTAGCATGAAAATACTTCTGTTAGCATTTTGAAAGAATCACTCTCAACATATCTCCTGTGATATAAAATGCCTCTTATGAATATATTCATTAAAGTATAAACTTTAATAAAAAATGTTCTAATTCATTTTTTTCTGTTTTATTTTTTAGTCTTCATTTCCTTCATCAACTGTTTCAGTGTAAAATTTGCTACTAAGCTGCAGAATATTATGACAATTACAAAAATCATTGCCATTTTCATTATTACTGTGGGCGGATTTTACTTTATGGCTATTGGTAAGTGTTCATGACTTTTTCATAAAATTTTATAATGTTTTGTATATTTTGTGCTTTTAAAAGCTCTGTATTCCATTTATGAAAAATGTTTTACATGTGTAACTGTCCTAATTGTGTATGGAAGTTATTTGGCTACACTTCATTTTTCTCAATTTGATAATATAAATGCACATAGTGATAAGTGTTAATCACTATATCTATCCATGTACAATATGAGAAGCTAAAATTGTTGTGGGAGTTTCCCTATGATGAATGTAATATTTTGATTGCACAAATAAACTTGTATATACATAACATGTATGTGTAGAAATTATAATAATCATTTTCCAAGCCAACATACATGACATGATAGATATTTAAAAAAAAAAATGGTTACTTAAAGCATTCTATTATTTAAAATACATACATAAATAATTTATCAAATTTAAAACAAAATAATAGTTACATTATATATATATATATATATATATATATATATATATATATATATATATATATATATATATATATAATTCAATAACATTTACTGACTTCCGTTTATTAGGTTTTTAATTATAGTGCTTAGTGTTCTCCTTAGTTTGGCTTACAGTTATTCTTAAGTTTAAACATTTTGAAACCTTAACAATATTTTTACTTCATTTATAGATACGTACTGCAAAATAAAATCCTTACATATACCTTGATAAATTCCCTCAGCTTATAAAACAGATCAGTAAATAAAAGTTTTACCTTTTTTCTTTATTCACACACAGACACACACACATATATATTTAGTTGACCCCTTTTAAAAAGTAGTTCTCGTGAATATCTAATGTCTGAATATAATTTCTTTTACTTGTGAATGGCCATTCTGTAGATATGACAAGTAGATCGTTTTTCACAACAGAAGCCCTTATATTTTCCTCTGGTATTGAAGAATTTGTTAAAGTGCAAAGTGTATTTTAGCATCATCTGAGGTTAATCGCTCATGAGGCAATCTTTCCATAGCAGATGACAAACCAGACAAAGAAGTTTATTTTAGGTGCTGGTAAGGCTAAAATATCTTTTCTGCATGAATTAATAATAATTATTTTCACTTTATATCTTTTTTGGGTCATTGTGCAAGCTTGTATTAATGTTGGTCTTTTCTTTTAAATGTAAAGTGGTGCAAAGAAAATGCTTGTTCTTTTTATTACTGTTCAGGTATTGCTTACCTTGTTTCCACTGAATCTGTAGTGCCACACCCAGGGGTTGAAGTAACAAATACTATATCTTCAAATTCACAATAGCCTACTGGATTTGTAGGATTATTATTATTATTATTATTATTATTATTATTTTTATTTATTTATTTATTTATTTAAACTCCTTTTAAAATAAATTAAATAAAGATAATAAAAATACTCCCAGCATTCAACAAAATGTGGACATATTGTCAAATGGTGTTAAATTCAATCTCTTTGCCACAAACCTTGATATGGGTAACATGTCCAACTTCTCTCTGTGATATGGCTTGTAATACTATGGAATGGCATATAAGATGCAGTTTTTTTTTGTTTTTTTTTTCCTTTTTACTAAAAATATCTTAAAATTCACCTGTGTCTCATACACCTTATGTAGGTTTAAAATTTGCAATAGACAGCCAAAATTAGCTACCTGGCAACTCTTATTAGCTTAGACTTTAGAGTAACTTTTATATACCTATCATCATTATTTAAAAGGCTATTATGCAGATTAAAAGCATTATCATTGATAATATTCATTATATTAATTTCATCACGTTTAATATTAATACTTTGTTTCACTAAAATTATATGCAATAAATTCAAATTATATATTTGTAAAACATATTTGTTTCATTAATATTTTTCTTGCGATAACTTCCAATTGCATTTGTATAAATACAATCAGAATTTTTATATTCTAATTATTCCACTAAGACGTTTACAAGTCTCAGGTTGTACAGATCATATAAAGGAAAATTTTTGACTGAATTTTAGTGGTAACTGTACTGTTTTACTTAATTATAATAATTGCTTGATCATTATTTTGTTTTCTTTTATTTTTCATTTAATTGTAATCATGGCTTGTTTAGCCAAAATAATACTTCATAAATATAGCCTAGGTTGTACCATTTACTAATAATTTTACTAATTTTTCTAGTAATTTTTTCTTGATTTGCTCTGCTGAAATTGGGGTGCATTTATACACCTGTGTGTCTTATATGCTGTCAAATATAGTAAATTTCTACCTCTTATCACATGTACCATAATACAATTGTAACCTAAAAAATACACACAAAAATATAAATAAATTGTATGAAAGCAACATACAATTTATCATGCTTTTTCTGTTATTTGTGTACATTTTATTTTCTGTTAAGTATGCTTTTATCTCCGTGACCACAAGGCTAATTTCTGCTGCTATTATGTGAGTGAACATCCCACAGATTAAAGAATTTATATTTATATGGTAAATATAGTAAATATGTATGACAATTTTAAAAACTTCTACATTATTTCATTGCTGAACTGGTGTTATCAGAGGACATCTTAATTTTATGAGCATTCTTCTTAAGATACTGGTTCATTGGCAAACGTCAATGTAGAAGTATTCCAAATTGATCTATTTACAATGGTTAGATCCTCATGCACCTTTAACCTCTCTCATATAACATACAAACTGTCAGAAAAGAATCATTCTATTTTAAAATATATTGTGTGACCTTAATGCAGGTTGACAACCAATCAGTGGGGACTTTACTGCTCATAAATGAACATTCTCCTGTGGGTTATTCAGTAAGCAATAAGATATTATTGAGTGAGTTTACATACTGAGTGATAATTTTATTCATAATGGCCTCATGCAGTGTTTTTTGTAAGTCATTGCATCACCCAGGCCTATCAAGCGCCTCTCCAGTCAAGATAAAATTGCAGTTGAAGATGAAGACAGTAAGGAAACTAATGGTTTGAAGTAATTTGAAGTTGCTATTGCTCAAATTAGGATATTTTTGTACATAAATTTTAAATAGCTGAATACCTTCAGAACAAACATTTTTGGGTGTGTGTAATAAACAAATAAAATGTTAAAGTATATCTTCCTGATTCAGTTTCAAAGAAATAGTATCTGCCTGTTAGGTGGTTAGGTAGTAAATTGAATCTATTTACAGATATCTGTGTAACACTGAATTGGGAAACTAAATTTGAGCATTTTATTTGTTGATTAATAATGTTGTTTCTTAATATTGAGCACTCTATTTACAAAACTGCTTATGTTAAAAGCATTATTCTCAAAGTCACTAGTTGATTTTTTTCAAAATTCCATGTTTGTTATATATATATATATATGTGTGTGTGTGTGTGTGTAAAGATAAAGAGAATGAAATTATTTAAAACATATATACACACACACACACACACACATATTGAGTAATGGATTGTGGCTCGGATTGAGGAATTGGAGAGCCAAGTTTGAATTCCAATCAAATTAATTACATTCACTTACATGCTAATACCCTTGCTGTGGGTAAATAGGACAGACTGGGTCCTATAGCCTTGAGTGGCAACCAGTCTAGGAGAAGGACAACAGTGAATTCAAAACCTGTGGAGGGTCATTTGGGGACCTTGTGGCATACTGTGCACTGTATTCAACCCTTCCAAAAAGTGTGGCTAGTTCTGCCCAAGCCTACTTGGCCCTCATACTTCGAAAAGGATAGTCCAGTAGTATTAAACATAGCAATTTTAGTGTGTATAACCCACCCCATCTGGCTGTAAAGTCACCAGACCTCACCTGTGTTGTTGCTAGTTATCAAAAGCAGCACTCATGTCAACTCTCAAATACCATACCAGGGTTTAGGCTACACTTTGGTGCAGGTGGCTTCTTTCCTTCACCAGGATGTGTCATCTAGTTCATTGTGATTACTCATGAAAAATTCATATGCTGTGGATTTTCATTGGTCAGGGTGAAAGTCTGATCATACCATTTCTTCAATGCTGGCCAATCCTGCTGAAAGAAGTGTAAGGTGCTCACAAAAGAAATGATGCTGTTGAATAATTATTAACAATTTAATTAAGAATGGAATGTAAAACATTATACAACAGCTGATTTGTTCCAATTTCTTTCTTGGTGAACTTGAGACATTGAGAGGTTTGTGTTCTAAGAGATGTGCAAGAGCTAACATCTTTGCAGTAACTGACTTCTATAGCTGATAAAAGGCTTGAGTGCATTTCCGCAATAATAAAGAGAATGAAATTATTTAAAACTGTCAGCACACTGACATTTTCCTTTTAAAAAACATGAAAAAAATCAATGGATTTATAGAATGCTATTAAAAAATAACTACTCATTTTGAAATATTACATGATAGCATGAGACTGTGCTGCAAATGGGTAAATTAAACAAAAATTGGGCTTCAATGCTGTTTACCAAAATTTACTTGAATAAAATGGTTAACTACATTGAATAAGCCTAATTGACTAAAACAGTGATGCAGTTTTGTCACAATATTTTGACAAGTACACCTCGGGCCTCATTGAATGACTGGATGACCATAATTGTACTATTGTGACTATTTTATCAACTGCTAATTGCAATTTGGTTGAATATGAATTACTTACTGAAGCCTGATCTGGCAAAATAACAGGTGAGGTTATCTTATTTAAATTATTGTTTATTCTTGGGTTTTCTTTTTCAGCCTTTGCCACCATAATTATCAGCATGGTACCATTTAGCCACTTGTTTTATTCAAGACCTTGTCTTCCTTCAGGACAATGTCGAGTAAATGCTAGTAAAGCCTAAGGATGTTAGTTTTATATTTATTATTAAAATGTTCATTTAAAAGAAATTTAAGAAAAAGAATTTACAAATAAAAATGTATATGCCTACATGTAGGTTTTTTCTGTTTGTGAATGAACAAAAGAAAAGCTATAAAAAACACTTAGATGTGATGCCAGTATCAATTCTGATTCATTTTCTTTAACAAAACCAAATATTAGAAAACTGCGGCCCAGCTTTCAACAGAA